AAACATGTGCCTCCCTCGTGTTGCTTTGGCCTTCGTCTTCAATGTCCGCCTGCTGAGGTTTTGCCTCGGGTTGCTGTGGCTGATGTGCCATATCATAGGTTGCATGGAGCCCAAAGAGAATATAGTAAATGAGCATTACTATGGTGCATATTACAAATCGTAGGAAAGCTGCAGAACCCGATGAACTCATTAGAAACACATTTGTTGCTATAGACAATGATGGAAGCCATGGGACGAGAGGAACTCCCCAAGCTTTTGGCGTTCTCTGCTGTGGCAAGAACTTGTAAATCCCTAAAGTGCCCAAGAACCAAAGTGGTACAGTTACGCAATACCCAATCCAGCCATTTGGGTTCAATCCCCAGTAAGCTGAAGTTCCTATAGAGGATGCTACAATTATCAGCAAGAAAGCAACCAGCTTCGGCAGGTTCTGTCGAGGTGTTTTATCTCGTACATAGTATCTCCTCACAAGAACAGCGACTGCCATCATTGCGAAAATGAATAGCGTGCTTACAGATAACAAGCTTGCAAGTATGTCCAGGCCTGAGAAGAAAGCGATGAGAGCACTTGAAATGGTAATCAGAAGAGTTGCGTTGATGGGAGTTCTAGTTTTCGGGTGGACAAGGGCAAACCACGGCGGGATCATGTGGGCTCGCGCAATATGAGTGGTGTAACGTGCTTGGCCAAGGGCCCCAATAATAAGAACGGTTGTCATGCCCTTCAGAGCTCCAAGATCTACCAGATACTTCGCCCACCTCATTCCCACGCTTTGAAAAGCCACAGAGTAGGCTGCATTTTCGTCTAATTCAGTGTACTTCTGCATCATGCTAAGCGCAAGAGCCATCAAGCAGTATGTCACCGTGATGATCGACATAGATACGAGCAGTCCTATCGGTATATCTTTCGAGGGGTTCTTTGTTTCCTCAGCCATGTTCGATATAGTATCGAATCCAGTATACCCAAAATATACAACAGCCGCTGCTTGGAAGATCCCTTTAGGCCCGTAAGGCATAAAAGGTGTTAAATTAGAAGTGTCTGCATGAATGAATCCTGCAATTATGATGAAAAGAATTGCCACGGTGTTGATCACAGATGCTATCCAATTGATGCGCGAAGCCTGCCTTGTGCTGATCATTGCAATTGTGGCAGTAATAAACAGAACAGCAACGGCGATCGGGTCCAGGAGATTGTAACCGTTTTGAAGACTCGTATGAATGCGCAACGAGTTGGAGGGACGGTTCAGTAAGTTTGTGAAGTAGGAAGTCCAAGCCCTGGCAACTGCTGCAGTCCCAACAACGGTTTCCAGGAGTATGTTCCCTGCCGCTAGGAATGCAACGAAATCACCTAGTTCTACCCTCAAGTAAGCAAAAGATCCACCTGCCACGGGGATTTCTACTGCAAATTCCGTGTAGCAGAAGACTGAAAGCATTGCAGATGCACCCGCTACGACATACGACAGGACAATGGCTGGTCCGGCATGTTTATGAGCTTCTTGGCCAGTGAGCACAAAAATGCCTGCTCCGATGTGACCTCCCAATCCAACCCAAGTGAGATCCCACCAGTTTAGGCAACGTTTCATGTCGTTCTCGCTCCGTTTCCTGAGCTCCTCCAGCTCGACAACATCTTCCGACCTGCCTTTGATCCTATCCTTCAGCCGGAAACAAATTTGCGACAAGGCAGATCTATAGGTTCCCCAATTTTTGAAGGATTCTTCTGGGAAGAAATCTTGCTTGCTCCATCTCCAGTAACTTCTCTGTCCAACCTGATCATTTGTTGATTCTTCATTGAAACTATTCATGGTTTCACTGAATAGAGAAACTGAGATGGAAGTTTGAAATACTAGTTGGAAGCTCTATTCGCCATTACCCGATGGACATGTGATATTTGTAGGAGAAGACACGCTCAAATGTCTGACACCACTCTTTACCCCCTCCAATTCATGGCCCATCCTTTTTTACCGTCTTGTACAAAGCTTGGCAAGAGGTCGCAGTCTTTCGAAGTGGGACAGTTTTGGATGCTTGTTTCATAGGTAAGTGATGGTGGACTCACAGCCACAGGACTTTTCTGTGTTGCCTTGTGAACTGTCCATGTCCTTGGATATTATAATGCGTGATGCTCTTATCCTCTCGTAAAAGATCCTTGCTACTAGATTGCCTCGGTTACAACTAGAGGGTAGAGACAGCTTCATAAACTTGCAACAAACGAGTTGTTATGCTTCCCCTTTTGTGTTTCCCTCCCACGGTGTAGTCTCGCAAAAAGATAATTCCTACTCGATTGCATGTACTGCGCTCAATATGATATCATAACTTTTCGATCACTTATTTAAGTCCCTTTAACTTTTTTCATTTGAGTTTCTTTGGTCGCTTACTCGCTAAAAAAGCCGATGTGGCATCATTTAAAAAAAGGCACATGGAACCAATTTTATCTTTAAAAATAGTATCGTGTCACCATTTTCATCTATTCAAATTGGGACTAAATGTAATACCATACAAAAGATTTGTGACTTTCGGTCTACTCAATTGATAACCATGGCCTTTGGCAAGATTACGGGGCCATCCAGGATTCTGAAATGGTCTAAAAAGATATAAAACTCTTGGTGACAGAGACTTAAGACTCATTTTTGTCGAGGCGACTTCTTGTGCTGGTGTTGGGCAAATTTTTCCTCCCACGTGACCATTAATCCCAAGAAGCTTGGCTTTTGGGAAAATCAGTCAGAGAGGAGTGATATCAGCTGATAGCTGTGCGCGCCTCTTTGATCAGGACATGTTTGTCCCATTGCGCAGACTTTCTGGCCCACGACCTTGAAAAAGTCAGAAGTCCTCGGCGTTACCCCACTGTATTCGCAGAACGAAAGTCTCATGTCCACTTCATCAATCAATTCATCTATTCGACCAAAACAAAATCAATCATCTACTTCTTAAATTCCTTCCCAGCTCCCCCATTAGCTCACGACAGTGGATCTAAACAATATCATCTTCATTCTCCGTATGTAGTTTTTGTAGTAGGAAAAAAAGAGGGAAAAATAACATAAATGATTCATTAACTTTAGCCCAATGTGCAATGTCATTCCTAAACTTTTAATTTGTTCAATATGATCCTTGAACTTTTTATACATGCTCAATTTAATCCCTAGAATATATAAAAATATTCAACGTTGTTCTTTCATTAATTCGAGTTAACGGAATATATTGATTTGACTTCTAATCTGGTACGTTTAAACGGTAGATAAAAAATATGTTACAAGTGAATTTATAATAGTCCTTTTAAATTGTTTAATTTGAAAAAATGATTATCCATGTTATTTGATGAAGTGAATTTGTATATCCTTATTTGAGTTAAATATCTTACATGGATAACCCACGTGTAACGTTAATTTTTTTTACCACCGTTCAAACTTACCAGATTGGAAGTCAAATTAGTAATTCCGTTAACTTGAAGTAATGGATATTTTTATATAGTTTAGGGATTAAATTGAACATTTACAAAAAATTTAGGAAACACAATGAACAAATTAAAAGTTCAAGAACGACATTGCATGTTGAGCCAAAATAGAGAAATCATTTGTGTAAATATGCCAAAAAAGGATAATAACAGAGTGCCATGGTTCTTCCCAGTCAAAGACTAAATAAACCAAAGTGATGAAGAGAAGGGACCGGAGCAACTTATCGGTGCAGCCTTTTGTAGTTGCTGTGATTGTTGATAAGTGTTGTAACCATTATGAGTTAATGGCCCAACATTAGTACACGTGTAACCGTTATGTGTTCATGGCTCAACATTAGTGCACGTTTAACCGTTATGTGTTGATGGCTCAACATAAGTGCACATGTAACCGTTATTTTCTCTCGTCTATAAATAAATGTGTCTTCTGAGTTCAAAGTAGACATAGAGAAAGAATTCCTCGAAGTACATCTACAGCGTCTCTTGAGTTTTCTCTTCAACAACATTCCTCAAGTGTGCCGGTTTCAATAAGTGTTCGATAGAGTCCTGCTCGTATAGTGCTAATACAAACAGGTTCGAGGTGTTGTATCTTAGGAAGCATAGTTCGTGAAGCTGCTTAGCACCGTTGGCAGAAACTAATCGCCTTAGAGAGATTCGGCTAGTCGTACCTCACCTCCTGTTTTACTTTTATTATCACTTTCTCAAATTTATTCTGGTTACAACAAACAGTGTTACATAATTTGTTCTTCTATTTTTTTCCAACAATCTTAAGGCGATTAGCTTACTGTTTGTTGTTTTTATCAGAAAATCGAGATGGCTGATAACAATCAAGTACCCAATGATATCCAAAATGTTTCTGGAGACGTTCCTATGGTCGTTTTAACTGGTGAGGTTCAGACCTCGTGGCCTAGTGTTGTGGTAGCAAAGCGACGAGCCTTCAGGCTGAAATCATTTATGGTGATATGGGTGCAAGTCGTTTAACTGACATACCCGGGACTGTTTTTCACAACAGTACAGGCCAAATGGCGTATGGTTCAATTCCTGGAGAAATGGTTCAACAAGCTTAGCCTAATTTGATGGTACCATCTCCAGTAACACCGAATGAGAAACCGGAGAAATTCGCCGGTGCAGGCTTTAAGCAGTGGCAGAAGAAGATTCTTCTATTTGACCACGTTGAATCTGATCAAATACTTATCGGAGATGTGCTCGATAATTAGCCAAAATGAGCAAAATGTCACGACGCTTGGGGAGTTGGAGGCTTGAAAGCATGGGGACTTTCTATGCCAAAACTATATCCTTAACTGTTTGGTAAATTCTCTATACAATGTTTATTGTAACATTAAAACTACTAAACAGTTATGGGAGTCCTTAGAAAAGAAATACAAAACTGAGGACGCGGGCACCAAGAAATTTGTGGTTGCCAAATTCTTGGATTTCAAGATGGTGGATTCTAAATTTGTCATGAATCAAGTCCAGGAATTGCAAATAATTCTGAACGACATATTTGCTGAGGGAATGAAACTTAGTGAATCATTCCAAGTGGCAGCTATTATTGAAAACCTGGCCACCGGGCTAAGGATTGCAAGAAGCGCCCAAGGAAAGGCAAAGGCGGTGGTACAACCAAACAACTGAATCTGACAGAGCAGGAAGATAATGAGAGACTGATTGCTGTGGTTGTGTCTGAGGTGTCCTTGGTGTCAAACAATACCTATTGGTGGTTGGACACAAGTGCCACAAATCACATTTGTGCCTTGGGTCATTTCGGAGCCACTCTATGCTGTCAAATGCACAAAAGAATGAAATGTTGGCCGATACAAATGCAACGCTAATCAAGCAATAAGGGAAACATCATCAGTTTACTAACTGACTAGATGATCAAAGAGATGTGCCAATCAAAGTTTCGGTTTTCCGGATCGTTCTTTGATATCATTCATAAATTTAATGTGCATGAGATGGAACATTTTTCAAATATCCGAAGAAGAATCAAAGTTCTCCATAATTCACATTCAAAAACAAACTGCAAATTGATTTAAGAGTAAGCAATTAAATGACCAACACGAACCTATTTCTTTCACCAAGATACGAAGACGTCTCCATAACCAAGTCACCAAATTGCAGAAGCAAACAAAATTACAGGCACAAATAAAGAAGGATCAAGAACAGCAGTCCAGTTTGAGTAAGTGATGTCAGTGAACACATACTTTATTGAACATCCAATCGCAATTAGTTTCTAATACTCTGATTTTAAGGAACCTAGGATGCATTCAATATTGATTGTATTATTTTCTGGTGAATTTATATAACTTGGTCATCGAGGATGACTAGAGTGACCAAAAGTGTTTAATATACCTAAGAAGAGCAGTCCCACAAAAATCTTCTTGAAGATGGAGGGCCTGCCGTCCACCCACATACATGAGAAAAAATTTCTGCAAATAGCTTATATCTCCTTTGGGCGACTGCATTCAAAGAGAAACACAGGGAAAACTCATTAAAGTTCTACGAGCACGAAATTGTTAGAAGGAATTCAATTTTATGCATAAATCTTTTCTCAGGAAGAAATTGAAACTAGACAGAGTCGAAGAACCGCAGACCTGGACAGATTGTTGGTAGAGGAGGAATTTTGATGGAATGTCTAGTGATGGACTTTGGCTGTCATGTTCTTGCTCTTGTTCTTCCTCCTCCACCTCCTCTTCCTCATCCTCTTCATCGGAAAGAGGAGGCTTCGAAGCTGAGGGCAAGTTTTCGTAACTGAAACTATCCTCTCCTCCTTCAAGATAATGAGAGGCTTCTCTGCGAGGGTGTCTTTGGTGTCTCTGCTTCTTCTCTCGCTTCCCCATCTCCTGGAATGCCCAATACCACGCCTATGGTGCAGACAAGTTCCTCAATGTCTTATATTGGCCTGTGAAGATTGTGAAGTTCACCATGATCCATTATTACCCTCATCAGGTAACAAATCTCGGACAACTGATAGAAAGAAAACAACATGTCCGTTCTCCATTACTGTAAAAGGACTACCACCCATGGGAGATGCTACATGATTGAGTGTACAGGTGTGGATGTAAAACCTTTGATGAGGAACTGCCACTGGACAAAATTGAGCCAATTTCACATAAATAAACATCTTATCCCACGACTTGACGAGCTAATTACAAGGCCCGTTGTCTCCCAAACATGACCAATTGATCTGGAAATTGGGTTCACATATGCAAATTAATTTCCAATTGGTTCTCATTCTCAATGTGGGTCAATCTTGCATCCAGTGAAACCTTTATTTGTTTTCCCCCAACAAGTTCTAACAGCTAACAACAAGAAATCACACAAACTAAAAGTTATGACCCATTGAGCTCACATTTCTCCTGATTAATGCAAGTATTTGAAGAGCTTTAAGCAAAAGAAATTCTAGAAACCATTTCAAGGAAACGAAATATAAACCCTTTCTTGAACAAGCCCAGAAGATGCTCCCACGTAAACACCGAACAACCGGAGAAAGAAAGAACCTAAAGGGCTTGAGGCTTGAGAGAGAGAGAGACGATAAACCTGGTGATGGCGGCGGCGAGGAGTTTAGGCTACGGAGAGACGAGCAGAGTGGCAAGAGAGGAGAGGTTGAACTGGGGTGAGAATTAGAAAGGGTTTCTGTTCTGTTCAGGTTGTATTTGGCTTGGGAAAAATGCGCACTAAAACATAGAGCATTCACATAAACAAAAATAATATGGGAAAATTTCAAATAAACACATGAAGTATCATCATTTTCTTATAAAAGGACCTGAAATGGATCTTGTTTAAAAAAAAAAAAAGCTTGAAGTGGTCATGGCAATTTCAAATAAGAGTTTGACCTCACCGACTAGCTAAATAATGGCCGATCAAAGGTTATTAAAAGGATTTTAACCTAAAATTTAGTTAAATTAAATTAAAAAAATTTAAAGGCTTTAAAAAACATATAGGTGGAGTGGCTACTGCCCCATCGCCGGTAGGGCGTCAGCGATGGCCGGTCAAGTCACTGGCACCTCGGCAAGGTTGCTACCTCATCGCCTCGCGCAGCCACTGGTGAGGTTCGCTCTCGCCGGATCTAGCAGGAGCTTACTGTCGGTTGAGGGCACACCTCACCAGTGGTTGGGCGTGGTCGACGTCACCATGGGTAGGCAAGGTCGAGCTCGTCTCACCGGTCCTCACCTCTGGCCAGTCGCCTCGATCCAACAATCGGCCTGAGGAAAAAGGAAGGAAAAATAAATAAAAAATCAATTAAAATATTATCAAAAACTATCTACGTCAGCGCCGCATGTCCATCGCTGATCATGCCACGTCAGTGCCAGCCGGCTAAAATTGACCAGATAGATTGAATTAGCATAAATGCAAAATATTTAGGACTCAATTGGCACAAAAAAATATTTACAACTTAATTGGCACAATTATAAATTTAGGACCTTGTTGATAATTTTCCCACGCAGGACAAGCGAGTTTGTTTCTAGATTCACTGGAAATGCCAAGCAACTTTGTTTCACCTTTTGTTACTTTATTTGTACCTATAAAACTGTTTGATTGCAGTTTTATTCATCCGGCTCTAACCCCGTTGCTCGTACTCAAATCACGGAATTAGAACATGTGATGAGAAGTGCTTCTTCCATCGCGAAGAACAACGAGAGCAAATCGAATCGAAATTACCCTAGGAGATTGTTTTATTCGTCATTTTTGAGGGTATGATTGTTGCTCATCTACATTTGCTGAAGCGCCGCGGGAAGCGACCGACCAAGAAGGGCCAAGGGAGACTGTGCTGTGAAGCGCAGCAAATAAAACTGGGATGCTCACATTGGATGAATATGTTCCGTTAATCTTAGCTCTCTTTTTCCTTCCCCATTTTGTAATGAATGTGTTCTGGCGAATTAAACGGGACGTGTCATTGAATAGCATTTGAGCCACAGCTTTGCTTTGTCTGTATGACTTTGTACCATCAAAATCAGCCTTCGTTAATCAGTTTGCCTGGTGCCATGCAACCATGGACTCTAGAGTGCCGGTACCTCTGCCTTGGGAAACTGCGATTGGGTTAAACTCTTACTTTCAACCTTCCGAATCGATTGTGGGCACGCGTCACGATCTCAGCTGGATTGCAAATGTTGATTGTCTCGTGTGGTTACAAGAAACGTGTGGTTACTAAATCCAAAGTATGAGATACATCTCTTGTAATTCCAAGTCAAGTGCCCTGCTTTCATCAGTTACGAAAACCACTTCAGGAGTCAGTGGGCATGTAGTCCAACAAAAGAAGCAAGAGAAATCTCAGCGTACAATACAAGTCCCTTTCGAATCGAATTGGAAGCTTATGGATTCGTTCCGTGTTTACCTGGCATGTTGGTTTGCATGCATCAGAAGGAACAAGAAACCAGTGGAAATGCATCTTAGTCAAGTGTCGGGGTGCTGAGTGATTTGATGTAGCAGTCGGAAATTCCTAAAGTATCAGTAAAAGCCAGAACTTGCTGGAGTGATGGTAGAATGTAACAGTTGTTATTGTGCATTGTGGTTCTTCTAGTATGACAAAATGTGTATAGAAGGTCAATAGCTCTGTACGATAACTCTTGTGAGATCGATCGTCTGAGTCAAAGTTTTGTGTTCTACTGGAACACGCCTCTTGGCACTGATTTCAGGTATTCTCGGTGAAATGAATGCAGAGAAGCTTCTCACCGACTGAAGAAATTTTGCTCAAGAGGCAGCTGCATAATGAAAGCATGTAAGGCTATGGAGATTAAATGGCAGAAACACTATTAACTTTATTGCTTCTGGCAAGGAAGAGACAGATTCTTGCTATGATCTATCTAAAACTTGCTGAAGTCTTTTCCTGATTTGTTTGTGCGCCTAAATGGCCGATAGATATTTAGAGCTCGAAAAGTGTGAGACTTTTAAGGGAAAGAAACATGCGCCTCCCGCGTGTTGCTTTGGCCTTCGTCTTCAATGTCCGCCTGCTGAGGTTTTGCCTCGGGTTGCTGTGGCTGATGTGCCATATCATAGGTTGCATGGAGCCCAAAGAGAAGATAGTAAATGAGCATTACTATGGTGCATATTACAAATCGTAGGAAAGCTGCAGAACCCGATGAACTCATTAGAAACACATTTGTTGCTATAGACAATGATGGAAGCCATGGAACGAGCGGAACTCCCCAAGCTTTTGGCGTTCTCTGCTGTGGCAAGAACTTGCAAATCCCTAAAGTGCCCAAGAACCAAAGTGGTACAGTTACGCAATACCCAATCCAGCCATTTGGGTTCAATCCCCAGTAAGCTGAAGTTCCTATAGAGGATGCTACAATTATCAGCAAGAAAGCAACCAGCTTCGGCAGGTTGTGTCGAGGTGTTTTATCTCGTACATAGTATCTCCTCACAAGAACAGCAACTGCCATCATTGCGAAAATGAATAGCGTGCTTACAGATAACAAGCTTGCAAGTATGTCCAGGCCTGAGAAGAAAGCGATGAGAGCACTTGAAATGGTAATCAGAAGAGTTGCGTTGATGGGAGTTCTAGTTTTGGGGTGGACAAGGGCAAACCACAGCGGGATCATGTGGGCTCGCGCAATATGAGTGGTGTAACGTGCTTGGCCAAGGGCCCCAATAATAAGAACGGTTGTCATGCCCTTCAGAGCTCCAAGATCTACCAGATACTTCGCCCACCTCATTCCCACGCTTTGAAAAGCCACAGAGTAGGCTGCATTTTCGTCTAATTCAGTGTATTTCTGCATCATGCTAAGCGCAAGAGCCATCAAGCAGTATGTCACCGTGATGATCGACATAGATACGAGCAGTCCTATCGGTATATCTTTCGAGGGGTTCTTTGTTTCCTCAGCCATGTTAGATATAGTATCGAATCCAGTATACCCAAAATATACAACAGCCGCTGCTTGGAAGATCCCTTTAGGCCCGTAAGGCATAAAAGGTGTTAAATTAGAAGTGTCTGCATGAATGAATCCTGCAATTATGATGAAAAGAATTGCCACGGTGTTGATCACAGATGCTATCCAATTGATGCGCGAAGCATGCCTTGTGCTGATCATTGCAATTGTGGCAGTAATAAACAGAACAGCAACGGCGATCGGGTCCAGGAGATTGTAACCGTTTTGAAGACTCGTATGAATGCGCAACGAGTTGGAGGGACGGTTCAGTAAGTTTGTGAAGTAGGAAGTCCAAGCCCTGGCAACTGCTGCAGTCCCAACAACGGTTTCCAGGAGTATGTTCCCTGCTGCTATGAATGCAACGAAATCACCTAGTTCTACCCTCAAGTAAGCAAAAGATCCACCTGCCACGGGGATTTCTACCGCAAATTCCGTGTAGCAGAAGACTGAAAGCATTGCAGATGCACCCGCTACGACATACGACAGGACAATGGCTGGTCCGGCATGTTTATGAGCTTCTTGGCCAGTGAGCACAAAAATGCCTGCTCCGATGTGACCTCCCAATCCAACCCAGGTGAGATCCCACCAGTTTAGGCAACGTTTCATGTCGTTCTCGCTCCGTTTCCTGAGCACCTCGAGCTCGACAACATCGTCCGACCTGCCTTTGATCCTATCCTTCAGCCGGAAACAAATTTGCGACAAGGCAGATCTATAGGTTCCCCAATTTTTGAAGGATTCTTCTGGAAAGAAATCTTGCTTGCTCCATCTCCAGTAACTTCTCTGTCCAACCTGATCATTTGTTGATTCTTCATTGAAACTATTCATGGTTTCACTGAATAGAGAAACTGAGATGGAAGTTTGAAATACTAGTTGGAAGCTCTATTCGCCATTACCCGATGGACACGTGATATTTGTAGGAGAAGACACGCTCAAATGTCTGACACCAGTTTTTCCCCCCTCCAATTCATGGCCCATCCTTTTTTACCGTCTTGTACAAAGCTTGGCAAGAGGTCGCAGTCTTTCGAAGTGGGACAGTGTTGGATGCTTGTTTTCATAGGTATGTGATGGTGGACTGACAGCCACAGGACTTTTCTGAGTGCTGCCTTGTGAACTGTCCATGTCCTTGGATATTATAATGCGTGATGCTCTTATCCTCTCGTAAAAGATCCTTGCTACTAGATTGCCTCGGTTACAACTAGAGGGTAGAGACAGCTTCATAAACTTGCAACAAACGAGTTGTTATACTTCCCCTTTTGTGTTTCCCTCCCACGGTGTAGTCTCGTAAAAGATAATTCCTACTCAATTTCATGTATTGCGCTCAATATGATACCATAACTTTTCGATCACTTATTTAAGTCCCTTTAACTTTCTTCATTTGAGTTACTTTGATCGCTTACTCGCTAAAAAAGCCAACGTGGCATCATTTAAAAAATGGCACATTGAATCAATTTTATCTTTAAAAATAGTATCGCGTCACCATTTTCATCTATTCAAATTAGGATTAAATATAACACCATACGGAAGATTCGTTACTTTCGGTCTACTCAATTGATAACCATGGCCTTTAGCAAGATTATGGGGCCATCCAGGATTCTGAAATGGTCTAAAAAGATATAAAACTCTTGGTGAGAGAGACTTAAGACTCATTTTTGTCGAGGCGACTTCTTGTGCTGGTGTTGGGCAAATTTTTCCTCCCACGTGACCATTAATCCCAAGAAGCTTGGCTTTTGGGAAAATCGGTCAAAGAGAGGAGTGATATCAGCTGATAGCTGTGCGCGCCTCTTTGATCAGGACATGTTTGTCCCATTGCGCAGACTTTCTGGCCCACGACCTTGAAAAAGTCAGAAGTCCTCGGCGTTACCCCACTGTATTCGCAGAACGAAAGTCTCATGTCCACTTCATCAATCAATTCATCTATTCGACCAAAACAAAATCAATCATCTACTTCTCAAATTCCTCCCCAGCTCCCCCATTAGCTCACGACAATGGATCTAAACAATATCATCTTCATTCTCCGTATGTAGTTTCTGTAGTAGGAAAAAAAGAGGGAAAAATAACATAAATGATTCATTAACTTTAGCCCAATGTGCAATGTCATTCCTAAATTTTTAATTTGTTCAATATGAACCATGAACTTTTAATGTGTTCGATATAGTCATTGAACTTTTTATACATGCTCAATTTAATCCCTAGAATATATAAAAATATTCAACGTTGTTCTTCCATTAATACAAGTTAACGGAATATATTGATTTGACTTCTAATCTGGTACGTTTGAACGGTAGATAAAAAATATGTTACAAGTGAATTTATAATAGTCCTTTTAAATTGTTTAATTTGAAAAAATGATTATCCATGTTATTTGATGAAGTGAATTTGTATATCCTTATTTGAGTTAAATATCTTACATGGCTAACTCACGTGTAACGTTGTTTTTTTTTACCACCGTTCAAACTTACCAGATTGGAAGTCAAATTAGTAATTCCGTTAACTTGAAGTAATGGATATTTTTATATAGTTTAGGGATTAAATTGAACATTTCTCAAAAATTTAGGAAACACAATGAACAAATTAAAAGTTCAAGAACGACATTGCATGTTGAGCCAAAATAGAAAAATCATTTGTGTAAATATGCCAAAAAAGGATAATAACAGAGTGCCATGGTTCTTCCCAGTCAAAGACTAAATAAACCAAAGTGATGAAGAGAAGGGACCGGAGCAACTTATCGGTGCAGCCTTTTGTAGTTGCTGTGATTGTTGATAAGTGTTGTAACCATTATGAGTTAATGGCCCAACATTAGTACACGTGTAACCGTTATGTGTTCATGGCTCAACATTAGTGCACGTTTAACCGTTATGTGTTGATGGCTCAACATAAGTGCACGTGTAACCGTTATTTTCTCTCGTCTATAAATAAATGTGTCTTCTGAGTTCAAAGTAGACATAGAGAAAGAATTCCTCGAAGTACATCTACAGCGTCTCTTGAGTTTTCTCTTCAACAACATTCCTCAAGTGTGCCGGTTTCAATAAGTGTTCGATAGAGTCCTGCTCGTATAGTGCTAATACAAACAGGTTCGAGGTGTTGTATCTTAGGAAGCATAGTTCGTGAAGCTGCTTAGCACCGTTGGCAGAAACTAATCGCCTTAGAGAGATTCGGCTAGTCGTACCTCACCTCCTGTTTTACTTTTATTATCACTTTCTCAAATTTATTCTGGTTACAACAAACAGTGTTACATAATTTGTTCTTCTATTTTTTTCCAACAATCTTAAGGCGATTAGCTTACTGTTTGTTGTTTTTATCAGAAAATCGAGATGGCTGATAACAATCAAGTACCCAATGATATCCAAAATGTTTCTGGAGACGTTCCTATGGTCGTTTTAACTGGTGAGGTTCAGACCTCGTGGCCTAGTGTTGTGGTAGCAAAGCGACGAGCCTTCCGGCTGAAATCATTTATGGTGATATGGGTGCAAGTCGTTTAACTGACATACCCGGGACTGTTTTTCACAACAGTACAGGCCAAATGGCGTATGGTTCAATTCCTGGAGAAATGGTTCAACAAGCTTAGCCTAATTTGATGGTACCATCTCCAGTAACACCGAATGAGAAACCGGAGAAATTCGCCGGTGCAGGCTTTAAGCAGTGGCAGAAGAAGATTCTTCTATTTGACCACGTTGAATCTGATCAAATACTTATCGGAGATGTGCTCGATAATTAGCCCAGATGAGCAAAATGTCACGACGCTTGGGGAGTTGGAGGCTTGAAAGCATGGGGACTTTCTATGCCGAAACTATATCCTTAACTGTTTGGTAAATTCTCTATACAATGTTTATTGTAACATTAAAACTACTAAACAGTTATGGGAGTCCTTAGAAAAGAAATACAAAACTGAGGACGCGGGCACCAAGAAATTTGTGGTTGCCAAATTCTTGGATTTCAAGATGGTGGATTCTAAATTTGTCATGAATCAAGTCCAGGAATTGCAAATAATTCTGAACGACATATTTGCTGAGGGAATGAAACTTAGTGAATCATTCCAAGTGGCAGCTATTATTGAAAACCTGGCCACCGGGCTAAGGATTGCAAGAAGCGCCCAAGGAAAGGCAAAGGCGGTGGTACAACCAAACAACTGAATCTGACAGAGCAGGAAGATAATGAGAGACTGATTGATGTGGTTGTGTCTGAGGTGTCATTGGTGTCAAACAATACCTATTGGTGGTTGGACACAAGTGCCACAAATCACATTTGTGCCTTGGGTCATTTCGGAGCCACTCTATGCTGTCAAATGCACAAAAGAATGAAATGTTGGCCGATACAAATGCAACGCTAATCAAGCAATAAGGGAAACATCATCAGTTTACTAACTGACTAGATGATCAAAGAGATGTGCCAATCAAAGTTTCGGTTTTCCGGATCGTTCTTTGATATCATTCATAAATTTAATGTGCATGAGATGGAACATTTTTCAAATATCCGAAGAAGAATCAAAGTTCTCCATAATTCACATTCAAAAACAAACTGCAAATTGATTTAAGAGTAAGCAATTAAATGACCAACACGAACCTATTTCTTTCACCAAGATACGAAGACGTCTCCATAACCAAGTCACCAAATTGCAGAAGCAAACAAAATTACAGGCACAAATAAAGAAGGATCAAGAACAGCAGTCCAGTTTGAATAAGTGATGTCAGTGAACACATACTTTATTGAACATCCAATCGCAATTAGTTTCTAATACTCTGATTTTAAGGAACCTAGGATGCATTCAATATTGATTGTATTATTTTCTGGTGAATTTATATAACTTCATCAAGGATGACTAGAGTGACCAAAAGTGTTTAATATACCAAAGAAGAGCAGTCCCACAAAAATCTTCTTGAAGATGGAGGGCCTGCCGTCCACCCACATACATGAGAAAAAATTTCTGCAAATAGCTTATATCTCCTTTGGGCGACTGCATTCAAAGAGAAACACAGGGAAAACTCATTAAAGTTCTACGAGCACGAAATTGTTAGAAGGAATTCAATTTTATGCATAAATCTTTTCTCAGGAAGAAATTGAAACTAGACAGAGTCGAAGAACCGCAGACCTGGACAGATTGTTGGTAGAGGAGGAATTTTGATGGAATGTCTAGTGATGGACTTTGGCTGTCATGTTCTTGCTCTTGTTCTTCCTCCTCCACCTCCTCTTCCTCATCCTCTTCATCGGAAAGAGGAGGCTTCGAAGCTGAGGGCAAGTTTTCGTAACTGAAACTATCCTCTCCTCCTTCAAGATAATGAGAGGCTTCTCTGCGAGGGTGTCTTTGGTGTCTCTGCTTCTTCTCTCGCTTCCCCATCTCCTGGAATGCCCAATACCACGCCTATGGTGCAGACAAGTTCCTCAATGTCTTATATTGGCCTGTGAAGATTGTGAAGTTCACCATGATCCATTATTACCCTCATCAGGTAACAAATCTCGGACAACTGATAGAAAGAAAACAACATGTCCGTTCTCCATTACTGTAAAAGGACTACCACCCATGGGAGATGCTACATGATTGAGTGTACAGGTGTGGATGTAAAACCTTTGATGAGGAACTGCCACTGGACAAAATTGAGCCAATTTCACATAAATAAACATCTTATCCCACGACTTGACGAGCTAATTACAAGGCCCGTTGTCTCCCAAACATGACCAATTGATCTGGAAATTGGGTTCACATATGCAAATTAATTTCCAATTGGTTCTCATTCTCAATGTGGGTCAATCTTGCATCCAGTGAAACCTTTATTTGTTTTCCCCCAACAAGTTCTAACAGCTAACAACAAGAAATCACACAAACTAAAAGTTATGACCCATTGAGCTCACATTTCTCCTGATTAATGCAAGTATTTGAAGAGCTTTAAGCAAAAGAAATTCTAGAAACCATTTCAAGGAAACGAAATATAAACCCTTTCTTGAACAAGCCCAGAAGATGCTCCCACGTAAACACCGAACAACCGGAGAAAGAAAGAACCTAAAGGGCTTGAGACTTGAGAGAGAGAGAGAGAGAGAGAGAGAGAGACGATAAACCCGGTGATGGCAGCGGCGAGGGGTTTAGGCTACGGAGAGACGAGCAGAGTGGCAAGAGAGCAGAGGTTGAACTGGGGTGAGAATCAGAAGGGTTTCTGTTCTGTTCAGGTTGTACCTTTTTTTTGGTCAAAAAAATCTCGATATTAATTTAACTGAAGAGTTCCTAAACAAAAACCCGGACGTAGAGGCATCCAAACATAGCAGGTCCCATAGAGATTGTGGAGGACGGGCTAACCACACAGACGAAAGGGTATTCATACGTTGGGCCTTCGCGGTTCAATCTGCTACTTGATTTGCGGACCGGCAACAATGAGCCAAGGAAATATTTGTAAATTGGTCCATAAGGAGCCTGGCCTCTTCTATTAAGATTTCCAGCTCCCACCGCACGTGTACTTTCCTCTGCACCGAATCTGTTGACTCTACACAGTCCGACTCTATCACCCGCTCGCTCTCTCTCTCCTCGACTGAAATCGCTTCAAAGCTTCGATCGGAGCCAAAGTTTACGTCTGAAGCGCCGACGAAGCTGGAACCTTCATGGCAAATCCATCTAGTAGAGCTCCCGTCTCATCTCTGAGGACCTTCAGTTGCGCCTTCGGTGGGATCCAATTCTTTGTCGATTGAGTCGTTTCTGTGTAAAGTTTCAAACTTTGATTGTTCCACTTGTTGAAATTTCCGAGCATCGTCCGCGCGGAGTCAATTAGGGTTCTTGAATTTGGCGGTTTTCTTCGGAATACAAAATCGTTCCTCGCTTTCTAGATAAACCATAAGATAGCCGCGACTGCATCGAAGGTAAGTGGGTTACCTGGCTCTAAAATCTGATCTTGGAACCATACCTCAATTCGCGTTAGATTTTGACGCGAAACTTGGATGTTTACTTCAGGATCTGTCCAAACCGAGTTTGTCCAAGAACAGAGCAAGAATAGGTGTTCCACTGATTCCTCTTCTTGATCACAGAAAGGGCATGCTGGCGTAGGTATGATTTTTCGCCTGTAAAGGTTCTCTGTTGTAGGAAGTGCATTTTGACATATGCTCCATAGAAAGATTTTAACTTTGGGGGGTGTCTTCATGTTCCAAATATGATGCCGAAGCTTGCGGGATGGCTGGAAAGATGATGATGCTTGCATTCTATGTTGTGGGTTGTCCTTCTCTCTAATCAAATTGTAGGAACTTTTAACTGAATAGGATCCTGATTTTGTAGCTGTCCACATCAGTTTATCCTGCGTAGCACGAGGATTGAGGGGAATGGCTAGGATTTCATTCACTGTTTGTTCATCAAAAAGTCTTCTGAGTTTGTGGGTATCCCAACTCATCTCTCCTTGTATGATTAATTCAGCAACTCTTGTAGGGTCACTCAAGTTTGCAGGTCCCCCTATAATTCCTTTTTTTAGCCATCTATCTTCTCGAATGTTAATGCTTTCTCCTGTACCCACTGACCATATCACTGATTCTGAGATATTTTCTCTCCCCATCAACAAACTTTGCCAACCCCAAGAGGGACGAGAACCCCTCCCTGCATGCCAGAATGAGCTTGAAGGAAAATAAATTCCTTTTAGAATTTGGCACCATAAAGATGATTGATTCTGAGATAACCTCCATGCTTGTTTTCCAAGCATTGCTCTGTTGAAAGCTATTAAGTCTCTGAATCCCATCCCCCCTTTATCTATTCTTGTTTTGAGCAGTTCCCATCTTTTCCAATGTAGACCTCTTCGTGATTCCCCACTCTTCCACCAAAACGCAGCAGTTCTTTTTTCTATAGACTGACATATCGACACTAGGATTTTGAAGATAGACATCGCATACTGCGGAAGAGCTTATATCACAGCTTTGGTTAAAATCTCCTTCCCCGCCTTCGAAATTAAGTTTTCTTTCCATCCCTCTAATTTCTTGTTCACTCTTGCTATAAGCCATGCAAACATTTCTTTTTTCGAGGCACCTCAATCCGAAGGAATCCCTAAATATTTCTTAGTCTTTTCTACTTCAGGGACTCGAAGTTCAGCTGCCATGTTTCTTCTCAATGATTATGGGCAGTTTGAGCAAAAAGAAATGCCAGATTTGTTCAAGTTTATTGCTTGCCCAGATGCAAAACAATATCGATTCAAAATCATTGCTAAATTCTGACATTCTTTCACATTTCCATCTAAGAAAAAAATAGTCATCGGCAAAAAGTAGGTGTGAAAGCACTGGACAAAACCTGTTCAACTTTATTCCCACTAGAGTACCCTTCTGAATTGCTTTTGTCATCGAAGCCGAGAGGGTGTTGGCCATTAAGATGAATAAGTAAGGGGACATGGGGTCTCCTTGCCGAATGCCTCTCAATGGTTGAAAATAGGGTAGTGGTTCGCCGTTAAACTTCACACTAAAGGATACCGAGGTAACACATTTCATAACTCTATTTACCCAGCATTCACTGAATCCCATCTTTAACAAACATGCCTCCAAAAAATCCCACTCCACTCTATCATACGCCTTTTTCATGTCTAATTTCAACACAGCCTGAAATTTTCTCCTTCTTTTTCTTATTCTCAATTGATGCAAAACTTCCTGCACTATCAAAATATTGTCTTGGATTTGCCTGCCTCCCACAAAAGCACTTTGTTCTCCTGCTATGAGTTCTGGAAGCCACGGTTTCAATCTATTTGCCAAGACTTTAGATATTATTTTGTAAGCAAAATTACACAGGCTAATTGGTCTGAAGTGGTCTAACCTTTCTGGATTCTGAACTTTTGGGACCAAAGTGATGTGAGTTCTGTTCAACTCTGGGTTAAGATGTCCGGATCTGAAAAAAGACTGTACTTCATCAAAAACTCCCTGTTTAATGTCCTCTCAATGGTGTTGATAAAACTGGCCTTTCAAACCATCCGACCCCGGCGCTTTTAAGGGACCCATCTGAAATACAGCATTATGGACTTCTCCCATTGTGATTTCAGCATTTAACGTTTGGTTCATCTCCGCTGTGACAATATTAGGGCATTGCTGCAAAACAGGGTCAAAATTCCGGGGACCCACTGAGTTGGTAGAGTTCTTTGAAAAAGTCCACTGTCATTTCTTTCAAGCTCTTTGTGTCCCGAACCCAGTAATCTTCAGCATTTTTTAGCATGGATATTCTATTCCTCTGCCTCCTTTGAATTGTGGTAGCATGAAAAAAATTTGTATTTTTATCCCCCCATTTCAGCCAACTAATTCTAGACCTTAGCCCCCAGTACATGTCCTCTTGTCGCCATAATTTCTCGATCTGTTCAGCCAGTTCTTTTTTCCTGCATAAATTGGTCGGCAACACTTGAGTGTTAACTATACCTTGCAGCTCCTCTTTCGAGAGCTTTATCTTCTCATGGCTATTCTGAAAATTTTCTTTACTCCATTTAGCCAATTCTGCAGCTACTACTCTGATTTTCTGCACTAAATTTTCCTCTTTCAAACTGGATAGGTTCCAAGTTCGCTTAATGATACTGCCACATTCCTCATGCTCTAGCCAAAAGGCTTCAAATTTAAAGATTTTCTTTCTTTTTACCTTTTCTGCTGATAATACCATTAGGAGGGGGCTGTGATCCAAGCCTATAGCTGGTAGTGCGTAGACTTCAGCTTCAGGAAATAAAACTCTGCGGTCGATGCTGCAAACAGCCCTATCAAAGTCTTTTTTTGACAAAATCCTTTCCCTTCGCGATTATTTGCCCACGTAAAAACGCAACCCTTGCTCTCCAAATCCATTAAACCACAAGCATTGAGGAAATCTCGAAATGCATTCATTCTATACATCTCTGTTGTTCTCATTCCCACCTTTTCCCAATGATACAACGTTTCATTAAAATCCCCTAAACACACCCATGGTAAGGTGTTGAGGGCACTCAATTCCTGAAGTTGTTCCCATAGTCTCATTCTTTCCTGGAAAATAGTTGGTGCATACACAAAGGTGACCCTAAAAAAGTTCCTCAGCTCAGCATCCTCCATTGTAACATCAATAAATTCATTTGTAGCTGAGTTTACACTCAAAGAAAACCCATCGTTCCACATTAGAGCTAACCCCCCACCGATTCCTACAGGGTTCACCACAAAGTAGTTTTGGAACTTTAGATTTCTGCTAGCTCTTCGAACCACTAGCTCTTGATTCTTGGTTTCCATTAAGAACACTACGTCGGGCCTATCTTGATCCACGAGTGCTCTTAAAGCTTGGACTGTCAAAGGTGTGCCCAACCCTTGACAATTCCAACATAAAAGCTTCAGTCAGGCAAAGGGGGAGCTACCTAGGATGTAGAGAATAGCTGTAGAGCCTTTTCTGTTTTTTCGCTAGATTTTATAGTTTTTTTTTTGTTGCTCTTTCTTTCTATCAGGCATTAGAACAAACGCTGGGTGTGCATTCACTCAGCAATGAAATATGGGCAGGGAACCACTCGAGTATCGGCATCACCGAGACGCTGCCAAAGGAACATCTCCTTCGCTGACGCACAACCAGCGGAGAACAAGACAGCACGGACGAAACAGATCGGCTTTGTCGCAGTCAGGGGGAATCGGCAAACCTTGAATGAAAAATCGATGAAGAAAGAAGTAAGTAAAGATGATGCGTTGAAGAAGGAGAAAACTCCAACAAAGTGGAGAGGTAGACTCCCGATGAGGGAGATGGAAGCTCTCGCGAAGGGGAGAGAGAGAGCTCTCACGAAGGAGAGGGAGAGGGGGGGGGTTAAAGAACCGAACTGATTGAGAGCGTTCAGGTTGTACTTGGCTCGGGAAAAATGCGCACTAAAACATAGAGCATTCAAATAAACAAAAATAATATGGGAAAATTTCATATAAACACGTGAAGTGTCATCGTTTTCTTAAAAAAAGACCCGAAATAGGTCTTGTTTAACACAAAAGGCTTGAAGTGGTCATGGCAATTTCAAATAAGAGTTTGACCTCGCTTGCCAGCTAAACAATGGCCAATCAAGGGCTATTAAAAAGATTTTAACCTAAATTTTAGTTGAATTAAATTAAAAATTAAAAAAATTAAAGGCTTTAAAAAAAATATAGCCGGAGTGGCTATTGTCCCATCGTCGGTAGGGTGTCGACAATGGCCAACCGGGTCACTGGCGCCTCAGCGAGGTTGCTGCCTCAACGCCTCGCCTAGCCACTAATGAGGTTCGCCCTCGTCGGATCGAGCAAGGGCTTGTTGGCAGGTGAGGGCACACCTCACCGGTGGTTGGGCATGGTCGACGTCACCATGGGCAAGCAAGGCCGAGCTCGTCTCACCGGCCCTCGCCTCTGGCTGATCGCCACGATCCAGCAATCGGCCTGAGGAAGAAGGAAGGAAAAATAAATAAAAAATAAATTAAAATATTATCAAAAATTGTTTACGTCAGCGCTGCATGTGCATCGCTGATCATGCCACGTTAGTGCCGACAGGCCAAAATTGACCAGATAGACTGAATTGGCATAAATGCAAAAAGTTTAGGACTCAATTGGCAGAAAAAAAAATTTACAACTTAACTGGCACAATTATAAATTTAGGACCTTTTTTATAATTTTCTCACGCGGGACAAGAGAGTTTGTTTCTAGATTCACTGGAAATGCCAAGCAACTTTGTTTCACCTTTTGTTACTTTATTTGTACCTATAAAACTGTTTGATTGCAGTTTTATTCATCCGGCTCTAACCCCGTTGCTTGTACTCAATCACGGAATTAGAACATGCGATGAGAAGTGCTTCTTCCATCGCGAAGAACAACGAGAGCAAATCGAATCGAAATTACCCTAGGAGATTGTTTTATTCGTCATTTTTGAGGGTATGATCGTTGCTCATCTACATTTGCTGAAGCGCCGCGGGAAGGAACCGACCAAGAAGGGCCAAGGGAGACCGTGCTGTGAAGCGCAGCAAATAAAACTGGGATGCTCACATTGGATGAATATGTTCCGTTAATCTTAGCTCTCTTTTTCCTTCCCCATTTTGTAATGATTGTGTTCTGGCGAATTGAACGGGACGTGTTATTGAATAACATTTGAGCCACAGCTTTGCTTTGTCTGTATGACTTTGTATCATTAAAATCAGCCTTCGTTAATCAGTTTGCCTGGTGCGATGCAACCATGGACTCTAGAGTGCCGGTACCTCTCTGCCTTGGGAAACTGCGATTGGGTTAAACTCTTACTTTCAACCTTCCGAATCGATTGTGGGCACGCGTCACGATCTCAGCTGGATTGCAAATGTTGATTGTCTCGTGTGGTTACAAGAAACGTGTGGTTACTAATCCAAAGTATGAGATACATCTCTTGTAATTCCAAGTCAAGTGCCCTGCTTTCATCAGTTACGAAAACCACTTCAGGAGCCAGTGGGCATGTAGTCCAACAAAAGAAGCAAGAGAAATCTCAGCGTACAATACAAGTCCCTCTCGAATCGAATTGGAAGCTTTTGGATTCGTTCCGTGTTTACCTGGCATGTTGGTTTGCATGCATCAGAAGGAACAAGAAACCAGTGGAAATGCATCTTAGTCAAGTGTCGGGGTGCTGAGTGATTTGATGTAGCAGTCGGAAATTCCTAAAGCATCAGTAAAAGCCAGAACTTGCTGGAGTGATGGTAGAATGTAACAGTTGTTATTGTGCATTGTGGTTCTTCTAGTATGACAAAATGTGTATAGAAGGTCAATAGCTATCTACGATAACTCTTGTGAGATCGATCGTCTGAGTCAAAGTTTGTGTTCTACTGGAACACGTCTCTTGGCACTGATTTCGGGTATTCTCGGTGAAATGAATGCAGAGAAGCTTCTCACCGACTGAAGAAATTTTGCTCAAGAGGCAGCTGCATAATGAAAGCATGTAAGGCTATGGAGATTAAATGGCAGAAACACTATTAACTCTATTGCTTCTGGCAAGGAAGAGACAGATTCTTGCTACGATCTATCTAAAACTTGCTGAAGTCTCTTCCTGATTTGTTTGTGCGCCTAAATGGCCGATAGATATTTAGAGCTCGAAAACTGTGAGACTTTTAAGGGAAAGAAACATGTGCCTCCCTCGTGTTGCTTTGGCCTTCGTCTTCAATGTCCGCCTGCTGAGGTTTTGCCTCGGGTTGCTGTGGCTGATGTGCCATATCATAGGTTGCATGGAGCCCAAAGAGAAGATAGTACATGAGCATTACTATGGTGCATATTACAAATCGTAGGAAAGCTGCAGAACCCGATGAACTCATTAGAAACACATTTGTTGCTATAGACAATGATGGAATCCATGGGACGAGAGGAACTCCCCAAGCTTTTGGCGTTCTCTGCTGTGGCAAGAACTTGTAAATCCCTAAAGTGCCCAAGAACCAAAGTGGTACAGTTACGCAATACCCAATCCAGCCATTTGAGTTCAATCCCCAGTAAGCTGAAGTCCCTATAGAGGATGCTACAATTATCAGCAAGAAAGCAACCAGCTTCGGCAGGTTCTGTCGAGGTGTTTTATCTCGTACATAGTATCTCCTCACAAGAACAGCGACTGCCATCATTGTGAAAATGAATAGCGTGCTTACAGATAACAAGCTTGCAAGTATGTCCAGGCCTGAGAAGAAAGCCATGAGAGCACTTGAAATGGTAATCAGAAGAGTTGCGTTGATGGGAGTTCTAGTTTTGGGGTGGACAAGGGCAAACCACGGCGGGATCATGTGGGCTCGCGCAATATGAGTGGTGTACCGTGCTTGGCCAAGGGCCCCAATAATAAGAACGGTCGTCATGCTCTTCAGAGCTCCAAGATCTACCAGATACTTCGCCCACCTTAGTCCCACGCTTTGAAAAGCAACAGAGAAGGCTGCATTTTCGTCTAATTCAGTGTACTTCTGCATCATGCTAAGCGCAAGAGCCATCAAGCAGTATGTCACCGTGATGATCGACATAGATACGAGCAGTCCTATGGGTATATCTTTCGAGGGGTTCTTTGTTTCCTCAGCCATGTTAGATATACTATCGAATCCAGTATACCCAAAATATACAACAGTCGCTGCTTGGAAGATCCCTTTAGGCCCGTAAGGCATAAAAGGTGTTAAATTAGAAGTGTCTGCATGAATGAATCCTGCAATTATGATGAAAAGAATTGCCACAGTGTTGATTACAGATGCTATCCAATTGATGCGCGAAGCCTGCCTTGTGCTGATCATTGCAATTGTGGCAGTAATAAACAGAACAGCAACGGCGATCGGGTCCAGGAGATTGTAACCGTTTCGAAGACTCGTATGAATGCGCAACGAGTTGGAGGGACGGTTCAGTAAGTTTGTGAAGTAGGAAGTCCAAGCCCTGGCAACTGCTGCCTTCCCAACAACGGTTTCCAGGAGTATGTTCCCTGCCGCTAGGAATGCAACGAAATCACCTAGTTCTACCCTCAAGTAAGCAAAAGATCCACCTGCCACGGGGATTTCTACCGCAAATTCCGTGTAGCAGAAGACTGAAAGCATTGCAGATGCACCCGCTACGACATACGACAGGACAATGGCTGGTCCGGCATGTTTATGAGCTTCTTGGCCAGTGAGCACAAAAATGCCGGCTCCGATGTGACCTCCCAATCCAATCCACGTGAGATCCCACCAGTTTAGGCAACGTTTCATGTCGTTCTCGCTCCGTTTCCTGAGCTCCTCGACCTCGACAACATCGTCCGACCTGCCTTTGATCCTATCCTTCAGCCGGAAACAAATTTGCGACAAGGCAGATCTATAGGTTCCCCAATTTTTGAAGGATTCTTCTGGGAAGAAATCTTGCTTGCTCCATCTCCAGTAACTTCTCTGTCCAACCTGATCATTTGTTGATTCTTCATTGAAACTATTCATGGTTTCACTGAATAGAGAAACTGAGATGGAAGTTTGAAATACTCGTTGGAAGCTCTATTCGCCATTACCCGATTGACACGTGATATTTGTAGGAGAAGACACGCTAAAATGTCTGACACCACTTTTTCCCCCTTCCAATTATGGCCCATCCTTTTTTACCGTCTTGTACGAAGTTTGGCAAGAGGTCGCAGTCTTTCGAAGTGGGACAGTGTTGGATGCTTGTTTTCATAGGTATGTGATGGTGGACTGACAGCCACAGGACTTTTCTGAGTGCTGCCTTGTGAACTGTCCATGTCCTTGGATATTATAATGCGTGATGCTCTTATCCTCTCGTAAAAGATCCTTGCTACTAGATTGCCTCGGTTACAACAAGAGGGTAGAGACAGCTTCATAAACTTGCAACAAACGAGTTGTTATGCTTCCCCTTTTGTGTTTCCCTCCCACGGTGTAGTCTCGTAAAAGATAATTCCTACTCGATTTCATGTATCGCGCTCAATATGATACCATAACTTTTCGATCACTTATTTAAGTCCCTTTAACTTTCTTCATTTGAGTTACTTTGGTCACTTACTCGCTAAAAAAGCCGATGTGGCATCATTTAAAAAAAGGCACATTGAATCAATTTTATCTTTAGAAATAGTATCGCGTCACCATTTTCATCTATTCAAATTAGGATTAAATATAACACCATACGGAAGATTTGTGACTTTCGGTCTACTCAATTGATAACCATGGCCTTTAGCAAGATTACGGGGCCATCCAGGATTCTGAAATGGTCTAAAAAGATATAAAACTCTTGGTGAGAGAGACTTAAGACTCATTTTTGTCGAGGCGACTTCTTGTGCTGGTGTTGGGCAAATTTTTCCTCCCACGTGACCATTAATCCCAAGAAGCTTGGCTTTTGGGAAAATCAGTCAGAGAGGAGTGATATCAGCTGATAGCTGTGCGCGCCTCTTTGATCAGGACATGTTTGTCCCATTGCGCAGACTTTCTGGCCCACGACCTTGAAAAACTCAGAAGTCCTCGGCGTTACCCCACTGTATTCGCAGAACGAAAGTCTCATGTCCACTTCATCAATCAATTCATCTATTCGACCAAAACAAAATCAATCATCTACTTCTCAAATTCCTCCCCAGCTCCCCCATTAGCTCACGACAATGGATCTAAACAATATCATCTTCATTCTCCGTATGTAGTTTCTGTAGTAGGAAAAAAAGAGGGAAAAATAACATAAATGATTCATTAACTTTAGCCCAATGTGTAATGTCATTCCTAAACTTTTAATTTGTTCAATATGATCCATGAATTTTTAATTTGTTCGATATAGTCATTGAACTTTTTACACATGCTCAATTTAATCCCTAGAATATATAAAAATATTCAACGTTGTTCTTCCATTAATTCAAGTTAACGGAATATATTGATTTGACTTCTAATCTGGTACGTTTAAATGGTAGATAAAAAATATGTTACAAGTGAATTTATAATAGTCCTTTTAAATTGTTTAATTTGAAAAAATGATTATCCATGTTATTTGATGAAGTGAATTTGTATATCCTTATTTGAGTTAAATATCTTACATGGATAACCCACGTGTAACGTTGTTTTTTTTTTACCACCGTTCAAACTTACCAGATTGGAAGTCAAATTAGTAATTCCGTTAACTTGAAGTAATGGATATTTTTATATAGTTTAGGGATTAAATTGAACATTTACAAAAAATTTAGGAAACACAATGAACAAATTAAAAGTTCAAGAACGACATTGCATGTTGAGCCAAAATAGAAAAATCATTTGTGTAAATATGCCAAAAAAGGATAATAACAGAGTGCCATGGTTCTTCCCAGTCAAAGACTAAATAAACCAAAGTGATGAAGAGAAGGGACCGGACCAAGTTACCGGTGCATCCTTTTGTAGTTGCTGTGATTGTTGATAAGTGTTGTAACCGTTATGAGTTAATGGCCCAACATTAGTACACGTGTAACCGTTATGTGTTAATGGCTTAACATTAGTGCACGTTTAACCGTTATGTGTTGATGGCTCAACATACGTGCACGTGTAACCGTTATTTTCTCTCGTCTATAAATAAATGTGTCTTCTGAGTTCAAAGTAGACATAGAGAAAGAATTCCTCGAAGTACATCTACAGCGTCTCTTGAGTTTTCTCTTCAATAATATTCCTCAAGTGTGCTGGTTTCAAGAAGTGTTCGATAGAGTCCTGCTCGTATAGTGCTAATACAAACAGGTTCGAGGTGTTGTATCTTAGGAAGCACAGTTCGTGAAGCTGCTAAGCACTGTTGGCAGAAACTAATCGCCTTAAAGAGATTCGGCTAGCCGTACCTCACCTCCTGTTTTACTTTTATTATCACTTTCTCAAATTTATTCTGGTTACAACAAACAGTGTTACATAATTTGTTCTTCTATTTTTTCCAACAATCTTAAGGCGATTAGCTTACTGTTTGTTGTTTTTATCAGAAAATCGAGATGGCTGATAACAATCAAGTACCCAATGATATCCAGAATGTTTCTGGAGACGTTCCTATGGTCGTTTTAACTGGTGAGGTTCAGACCTCGTGGCCTAGTGTTGTGGCAGCAAATGCGACGAGCCTTCGGGCTAAAACCATTTATGGTGATATGGGTGCAAGTCGTTTAACTGACATACCCGGGACTGTTTTTCACAACAGTACAGGCCAAATGGCGTATGGTTCAATTCCTGGAGAAATGGTTCAACAAGCTTAGCCTAATTTGATGGTACCATCTCCAGTAACACCGAATGAGAAACCGGAGAAATTTGCTGGTGCAGGCTTTAAGCAGTGGCAGAAGAAGATTCTTCTATTTGACCATGCTGAATCTGATCAAATACTTATCGGAGATATGCTCGATAATTAGCCTAGATGAGTAAAATGTCATGACGCTTGGGGAGTTGGAGGCTAGAAAGTATGGAGACTTTCTATGCCGAAATTATATCCTTAACTGTTTGGTAAACTCTCTATACAATGTTTATTGTAACATTAAAACTACTAAACAGTTATGGGAGTCCTTAGAAAAGAAATACAAAACTGAGGACGCGGGCACCAAGAAATTTGTGGTTGCCAAATTCTTGGATTTCAAGATGGTGGATTCTAAATTTGTCATGAATCAAGTCCGGGAATTGCAAATAATTCTGAACGACATCTTTGCTGAGGGAATGATACTTAGTGAATCATTCCAAGTGGCAGCTATTATTGAAAAGCTGCCTCCATGCTGGTCTGACTTCAAAAATTATTTGAAGCATAAACGGAAAAGAGATAAGCCTTGAAGATCTCATTCTGCGCCTCAGAATCGAGGAGGACAATAGGAGAAATGCAAACCCTCCTATGGAACCGAAGGCCAACACTGTGGAGTTTTCTAATTCCAAGCAAGATAGGAAGAGGAAGAAGTCATTTCAAGAAAAAGGCAAGCAGAAGGAACAGTCCCAAAAATTCCAAGGGACATGTTTTATTTGCAATAAGCCTAGCTACCTGGCTAAGGATTGCAAGAAGCGCCCAAGGAAAGGCAAAGGCGGTGGTACAACCAAATAACTAAATCTGACAGAGCAGGAAGATAATGAGAGACTGATTACTGTGGTTGTGTCTGAGGTGTCCTTGGTGTCAAACAATACCTATTGGTGGTTGGACACAAGTGCCGCAAATCACATTTGTGCCTTGGGTCATTTCGGAGCCACTCTATGCTGTCAAATGCACAAAAGAATGAAATGTTGGCCGAAACAAATGCAACGCTAATCAAGCAATAAGGGAAACATCATCAGTCTACTAACTGACTAGATGATCAAAGAGATGTGCCAATCAAAGTTTCGGTTTTCCGGATCGTTCTTTGATATCATTCATAAATTTAATGTGCATGAGATGGAACATTTTTCAAATATCCGAAGAAGAATCAAAGTTCTCCATAATTCACATTCAAAAACAAACTGCAAATTGATTTAAGAGTAAGCAATTAAATGACCAACACGAACCTATTTCTTTCACCAAGATACGAAGACGTCTCCATAACCAAGTCACCAAATTGCAGAAGCAAACAAAATTACAGGCACAAATAAAGAAGGATCAAGAACAGCAGTCCAGTTTGAATAAGTGATGTCAGTGAACACATACTTTATTGAACATCCAATCGCAATTAGTTTCTAATACTCTGATTTTAAGGAACCTAGGATGCATTCAATATTGATTGTATTATTTTCTGGTGAATTTATATAACTTGGTCATCAAGGATGACTAGAGTGACCAAAAGTGTTTAATATACCTAAGAAGAGCAATCCCACAAAAATCTTCTTGAAGATGGAGGGGCTGCCTTCCACCAACATACATGAGAAAAAATTTCTGCAAATAGCTTATATCTCCTTTGGGCGACTGCATTCAAAGAGAAATACAGGGAAAACTCATTACAGTTCTACGAGCACGAAATTGTTAGAAGGAATTCAATTTTATGCATAAATCTTTTCTCAGGAAGAAATTGAAACTAGACAGAGTCGAAGAACCGCAGACCTGGACAGATTGTTGGTAGAGGAGGAATTTTGATGGAATGTCTAGTGATGGACTTCGGCTGTCATGTTCTTGCTCTTGTTCTTCCTCCTCCACCTCCTCTTCCTCATCCTCTTCATCGGAAAGAGGAGGCTTCGAAGCTGAGGGCAAGTTTTCGTAACTGAAACTATCCTCTCCTCCTTCAAGATAATGAGAGGCTGCTCTGCGAGGGTGTCTTTGGTGTCTCTGCTTCTTCTCTCGCTTCCCCATCTCCTGGAATGCCCAATACCACGCCTATGGTGCAGACAAGTTCCTCAATGTCTTATATTGGCCTGTGAAGATTGTGAAGTTCACCATGATCCATTATTACCCTCATCAGGTAACAAATCTCGGACAACTGATAGAAAGAAAACAACATGTCCGTTCTCCATTACTGTAAAAGGACTACCACCCATGGGAGATGCTACATGATTGAGTGTACAGGTGTGGATGTAAAACCTTTGATGAGGAACTGCCACTGGACAAAATTGAGCCAATTTCACATAAATAAACATCTTATCCCACGACTTGACGAGCTAATTACAAGGCCCGCTGTCTCCCAAACATGACCAATTGATCTGGAAATCGGGTTCACATATGCAAATTAATTTCCAATTGGTTCTCATTCTCAATGTGGGTCAATCTTGCATCCAGTGAAACCTTTATTTGTTTTCCCCCAACAGGTTCTAACAGTTAACAACAAGAAATCATACAAACTAAAAGTTATGACCCATTGAACTCACATTTCTCCTGATTAATGCAAGTATTTGAAGAGCTTTAAGCAAAAGAAATTCTAGAAACCATTTCAAGGAAACGAAATAAAAACCCTTTCTTGAACAAGCCCAGAAGATGCTCCCACGTAAACACCGAACAACCGGAGAAAGAAAGAACCTAAAGGGCTTGAGACTTGAGAGAGAGAGAGACGATAAACCTGGTGATGGCAGCGGCGAGGGGCTTAGGCTACGGAGAGACGAGCAGAGTGGCAAGAGAGCAGAGGTTGAACTGGGGTGAGAATTATAAAGGGTTTCTGTTCTGTTCAGGTTGTACTTTTTTCTTGGTCGAAAAAATCTCGATATTAATTAAACTGAAGAATTCTTAAACAAAAACCCGGACATAGAGGTATCCAAACATAGCAGGTCCCATGGAGATTAGAGATTGTGGAGGACGGGCTAACCAAATAGACGAAAGGGTATTCAAACGTTGGGCCTTCGCGATTCAATCTGCTACTTGATTTGCGGAACGGCAACAATGAGCCAAGGAAATATTTGTCAATTGGTCCATAAGGAGCCTGGCCTCTTCTATTAAGATTTCCAGCTCCCACTGCACGTGTACTTTCCTCTGCACCGAATCTGTTAACTCTACACAGTCCGACTCTATCACCCGCTCGCTCTCTCTCTCCTCGATTGAAATCGCTTCAAAGCTTCGATCAGAGCCAAAGTTTACGTCTAAAGCGCCGACGAAGCTGGAACCTTCATGGCAAATCCATCTAGTAGAGCTCCCGTCTCATCTCTGAGGACCCCCGAAATAGCTCCTTCAGTTGCGCCTTCAAGGAAAGCTCCATCTATATTGATTTTGAAGGTAAGGTTTTTCGGTGGGATCCAATTCTTTGTCGATTGAATTGAGTCGTTTCTGTGTAAAGTTTCAAACTTTGATTGTTCCACTTGTTGAAATTTCCGAGCATCGTCCGCGCGGAGTCAATTAGGGTTCTTGAATTTGGCGGTTTTCTTCGGAATACAAAATCGTTCCTCGCTTTCTAGATAAACCATAAGATAGCCGCGACTGCATCGAAGGTAAGTGGGTTACCTGGCTGTAAAATCTGATCTTGGAACCATACCTCAATTCGCGTCAGATTTTAACGCGAAACTTGGATGTTTACTTCAGGATCTGTCCAAACCGAGTTTGTCCAAGAACAGAGCAAGAATAGGTGTTCCACTGATTCCTCTTCTTGATCACAGAAAGGGCATGCTGGCGTAGGTATGATTTTTCGCCTGTAAAGGTTCTCTGTTGTAGGAAGTGCATTTTGACATGTGCTCCATAGAAAGATTTTAACTTTGGGGGGTGTCTTCATGTTCCAAATATGATGCCAAAGCTTGCGGGATGGCTGGAAAGATGATGTTGCTTGCATTCTATGTTGTGGGTTGTCCTTCTCTCTAATCAAATTGTAGGAACTTTTAACTGAATAGGATCCTGATTTTGTAACTGTCCACATCAGTTTATCCTGTGTAGGCCGAGGATTCAGGGGAACGGCTAGGATTTCATGCACTGTTTGTTCTTCAAAAAGTCTTCTGAGTTTGTGGGTATCCCAACTCATCTCTCCTCGTATGATTAATTCAGCAACTCTTGTAGGGTCACTCAAGTTTGCGGGTCCCCCTATAATTCCTTTTTTTAGCCATCTATCTTCTCGAATGTTAATGCTTTCTCCTGTTCCCACTGACCATATCACTGATTCTGAGATATTTTCTCTCCCCATCAACAAACTTTGCCAACCCCAAGAGGGACGAGAACCCCTCCCTGCATGCCAGAATGAGCTTGAAGGAAAATAAATTCCTTTTAGAATTTGGCACCATAAAGATGATTGATTCTGAGATAGCCTCCATGCTTCTTGTTTTCCAAGCATTGCTCTGTTGAAAGCTACTAAGTCTCTGAATCCCATCCCCCCTTTATCTTTTCTTGTTTTGAGCAGTTCCCATCTTTTCCAATGTAGTCCTCTTCGTGATTCCCCACTCTTCCACCAAAATGCAGCAGTTCTTTTTTCTATAGACTGACATATCGACACTAGGATTTTGAAGATAGACATCGCATACTGAGGAAGAGCTTGTATCACAGCTTTGGTTAAAATCTCCTTCCCCGCCTTCGAAATTAAGTTTTCTTTCCGTCCCTCTAATTTCCTGTTCACTCTTGCTAAAAGCCATGCAAACATTTCTTTTTTCGAGGCACCCCAATCCAAAGGAATCCCTAAATATTTCCCAGTCTTTTCTACTTCAGGGACTCGAAGTTCAGCTGCCATGTTTCTTCTCAATGATTATGGGCAGTTTGAGCAAAAAGAAATGCCAGATTTGTTTAAGTTTATTGCTTGCCCAGATGCAAAACAATATTGATTCAAAATCATTGCTAAATTCTGACATTCTTTCACATTTCCATCTAAGAAAAAAATAGAGTCATCGGCAAAAAGTAGGTGTGAAAGGACTGGACAAACCCTGTTCAACTTTATTCCCACTAGAGTACCCTTCTGAATTGCTTTTGTCATCGAAGCCGAGAGGATGTTGGCCATTAAGATGAATAAGTAAGGGGACATGGGGTCTCCTTGCCGAATGCCTCTCGATGGTTGAAAATAGGGTAGTGGTTCGCCGTTAAACTTCACACTAAAAGATACCGAGGTAACACATTTCATAACTCTATTTACCCACCATTCACTGAATCCCATCTTTAACAAACATGCCTCCAGAAAATCCCACTCCACTCTATCATATGCCTTTTTCATGTCTAATTTCAACACAGCCTGAAATTTTCTCCTTCTTTTTCTTATTCTCAATTGATGCAAAACTTCCTGCACTATCAAAATATTGTCTTGGATTTGCCTGCCTCCCACAAAAGCACTTTGTTCTCCTGCTATGAGTTCTGGAAGCCACGGTTTCAATCTATTTGCCAAGACTTTAGATATTATTTTGTAAGCAAAATTACACAGGCTAATTGGTCTGAAGTGGTCTAACCTTTCTGGATTCTGAACTTTTGGGACCAAAGTGATGTGAGTTCTGTTCAACTCTGGGTTAAGATGTCCGGATCTGAAAAAAGACTGTACTTCATCAAAAACTCCCTGTTTAATGTCCTCCCAATGGTGTTGATAAAATTGGCCTTTCAAACCATCCGACCCCGGCGCTTTTAAGGGACCCATCTGAAATACAGCATTATGGACTTCTCCCATTGTGATTTCAGCATTTAACGTTTGGTTCATCTCCGCTGTGACAATATTAGGGCATTGCTGCAAAACAGGGTCAAAATTCCGGGGACCCACTGAGTTGGTAGAGTTCTTTGAAAAAGTCCACTGTCATTTCTTTCAAGCTCTTTGTGTCCCGAACCCAGTAATCTTCAGCATTTTTTAGCATGGATATTCTATTCCTCTGCCTCCTTTGAATTGTGGTAGCATGAAAAAATTTTGTATTTTTATCCCCCCAGTACATGTCCTCTTGTCGCCATAACTTCTTGATCTGTTCAGCCAGTTCTTTTTTCCTGCATAAATTGGTCGGCAACACTTGAGTGTTAACTATACCTTGCAGCTCCTCTTTCTAGAGCTTTATCTTCTCATGGCTATTCTGAAAATTTTCTTTACTCCATTTAGCCAATTCTGCAGCTACTACTCTGATTTTCTGCACTAAATTTTCCTCTTTCAAACAGGACAGGTTCCAAGTTCGCTTAATGATACTGCCACATTCCTCATGCTCTAGCCAAAAGGCTTCAAATTTAAAGATTTTCTTTCTTTTTACCTTTTCTGCTGATAATATCATTAGGAGGGGGCTGTGATCCAAGCCTATAGCTGGTAGTGCGTAGACTTCAGCTTCAGGAAATAAAACTCTCCGGTCGATGCTGCAAACAGCCCTATCAAAGTCTTTTTTTGACAAAATCCTTTCCCTTCGCGATTATTTGCCCACGTAAAAACGCAACCCTTGCTCTCCAAATCCATTAAACCACAAGCATTGAGGAAATCTCGAAATGCATTCATTCTATACATCTCTGTTGTTCTCCTTCCCACCTTTTCCCAATGATACAACGTTTCATTAAAATCCCCTAAACACACCCATGGTAAGGTGTTGAGGGCACTCAATTCCTGAAGTTGTTCCCATAGTCTCATTCTTTCCTGGAAAATAGTTGGTGCATACACAAAGGTGACCCTAAAAAAGTTCCTCAGCTCAGCATCCTCCATTGTAACATCAATAAATTCATTTGTAGCTGAGTTTACACTCAAAGAAAACCCATCGTTCCACATTAAAGCTAACCCCCCACCGATTCCTACAGGGTTCACCACAAAGTAGTTTTGGAACTTTAGATTTCTGTTACCTCTTCGAACCACTAGCTCTTGATTCTTGGTTTCCATTAAGAACACTACATCGGGCCTATCTTGATCCACGAGTGCTCTTAAAGCTTGGACTGTCAAAGGTGTGCCCAACCCTTGACAATTCCAACATAAAAGCTTCATTCAGGCAAAGGGGGAGCTACCTAGGATGTAGAGAATAGCTGTAGAGCCTTTTCTGTTTTTTTTCGCTAGATTTTATAGTTTTTTTTTTTCCTCTTTCTTTCTATCAGGCATTAGAACAAACGCTGGGTGTGCATTCACTCAGCAATGAAATATGGGGCAGGGAACCACTCGAGTATCGGCATCACCGAGACGCTGCCAAAGGAACATCTCCTTCGCTGATGCACAACCAGCGGAGAACAAGACAGCACGGACGAAACAGATCGGCTTTGTCGCAGTCAGGGGGTATCGGCAAACCTTGAATGAAAAATCGATGAAGAAAGAAGTAAGTAAAGATGATGCGTTGAAGAAGGAGAAAACTCCAACAAAGTGGAGAGGTAGACTCCCGATGAGGGAGATGGAAGCTCTCGCGAAGGGGAGAGAGAGAGCTCTCACGAAGGAGAGGGAGAGGGGGGGTTAAAGAACCGAACTGATTCAGGTTGTACTTGGCTTGGGAAAAATGCGCGCACTAAACATAGAGCATTCAAATAAACAAAAATAATATGGGAAAATTTCAAATAAACACATGAAGTGTCATCATTTTCTTAAAAAAAGACTCGAAATAGATCTTGTTTAACACAAAAGGCTTGAAGTGGCCATGGCAATTTCAAATAAGAGTTTGATCTCGCTGGCCAGCTAAATGATGGCCGATCAAGGGCTATTAAAAAGATTTTAACCTAAAATTTAGTTGAATTAAATTAAAAATTAAAAAAGTTAAAGGCTTTAAAAAAAATATAGGCAGAGTGGCTGTTGCCCCATCGTCGTTAGGGCGTCGACAATGGCCAACCGAGTCACTAGTACCTTGGCGAGGTTGCTGCCTCAACGCCTCGCCTAGCCGCTGGTGAGGTTTGCCCTTGTCGGATCTAGCAGGGGCTTGTTGGCATGTGAGGGCACACCTCACTAGTGGTTGGGTGTGGTCGACGTCACCATGGGCAAGCAAGGTCGAGCTCGTCTCACCGGCCCTCGCTTCTGGCTGATCGCCGCGATCCAACAATCGGCCTAAGGAAGAAGGAAGGAAAAATAAATAAAAAATAAATTAAAATATTATCAAAAATTGTTTACGTCAGCGCTGCACGTGCATCGCTGATCATGCCACGTTAGTGCCGGCAGGCCAAAATTGACCAGATAGACTGAATTGGCATAAATGCAAAAAGTTTAGGACTTAATTGGCACAAAAAAAAATTTACAACTTAACTGGCACAATTATAAATTTAGGACCTTTTTGATAATTTTCCCACGCGGGACAAGAGAGTTTGTTTCTAGATTCACTGGAAATGCCAAGCAACTTTGTTTCACCTTTTGTTACTTTATTTGTACCTTTAAAACTGTTTGATTGCAGTTTTATTCATCCGGCTCTAACCCCGTTGCTTGTACTCAATCACGGAATTAGAACATGCGATGAGAAGTGCTTCTTCCATCGCGAAGAACAACGAGAGCAAATCGAATCGAAATTACCCTAGGAGATTGTTTTATTCGTCATTTTTGAGGGTATGATCGTTGCTCATCTACATTTGCTGAAGCGCTGCGGGAAGGAACCGACCAAGAAGGGCCAAGGGAGACCGTGCTGTGAAGCGCAGCAAATAAAACTGGGATGCTCACATTGGATGAATATGTTCCGTTAATCTTAGCTCTCTTTTTCCTTCCCCATTTTGTAATGAATGTGTTCTGGCGAATTGAACGGGACGTGTTATTGAATAACATTTGAGCCACAGCTTTGCTTTGTCTGTATGACTTTGTACCATTAAAATCAGCCTTCGTTAATCAGTTTGCCTGGTGCCATGCAACCATGGACTCTCGAGTGCCGGTACCTCTGCCTTGGGAAACTGCGATTGGGTTAAACTCTTACTTTCAACCTTCCGAATCGATTGTGGGCACGTGTCACGATCTCAGCTGGATTGCAAATGTTGATTGTCTCGTGTGGTTACAAGAAACGTGTGGTTACTAATCCAGAGTATGAGATACGTCTCTTGTAATTCCAAGTCAAGTGCCCTGCTTTCATCAGTTACGAAAGCCACTTCAGGAGCCAGTGGGCATGTAGTCCAACAAAAGAAGCAAGAGAAATCTCAGCGTATAATACAAGTCCCTCTCGAATCGAATTGGAAGCTTTTGGATTCATTCCGTGTTTACCTGGCATGTTGGTTTGCATGCATCAGAAGGAACAAGAAACCAGTGGAAATGCATCTTAGTCAAGTGTCGGGGTGCTGAGTGATTTGATGTAGCAGTCGGAAATTCCTAAAGCATCAGTAAAAGCCAGAACTTGCTGGAGTGATGGTAGAATGTAACAGTTGTTATTGTGCATTGTGGTTCTTCTAGTATGGCAAAATGTGTATAGAAGGTCAATAGCTCTGTACGATAACTCTTGTGAGAACGATCGTCTGAGTCAAAGTTTGTGTTCTACTGGAACACGTCTCTTGGCACTGATTTCAGGTATTCTCGGTGAAATGAATGCAGAGAAGCTTCTCACCGACTGAAGAAATTTTGCTCAAGAGGCAGCTGCATAATGAAAGCATGTAAGGCTATGGAGATTAAATGGCAGAAACACTATTAACTTTATTGCTTCTGGCAAGGAAGAGACAGATTCTTGCTATGATCTATCTAAAACTTGCTGAAGTCTCTTCCTGATTTGTTTGTGTGCCTAAATGGCCGATAGATATTTAGAGCTCGAAAAGTGTGAGACTTTTAAGGGAAAGAAACATGCGCCTCCCGCGTGTTGCTTTGGCCTTCGTCTTCAATGTCCGCCTGCTGAGGTTTTGCCTCGGGTTGCTGTGGCTGATGTGCCATATCATAGGTTGCATGGAGCCCAAAGAGAATATAGTAAATGAGCATTACTATGGTGCATATTACAAATCGTAGGAAAGCTGCAGAACCCGATGAACTCATTAGAAACACATTTGTTGCTATAGACAATGATGGAATCCATGGGACGAGAGGAACTCCCCAAGCTTTTGGCGTTCTCTGCTGTGGCAAGAACTTGTAAATCCCTAAAGTGCCCAAGAACCAAAGTGGTACAGTTACGCAATACCCAATCCAGCCATTTGGGTTCAATCCCCAGTAAGCTGAAGTCCCTATAGAGGATGCTACAATTATCAGCAAGAAAGCAACCAGCTTCGGCAGGTTCTGTCGAGGTGTTTTATCTCGTACATAGTATCTCCTCACAAGAACAGCGACTGCCATCATTGTGAAAATGAATAGCGTGCTTACAGATAACAAGCTTGCAAGTATGTCCAGGCCTGAGAAGAAAGCCATGAGAGCACTTAAAATGGTAATCAGAAGAGTTGCGTTGATGGGAGTTCTAGTTTTGGGGTGGACAAGGGCAAACCACGGCGGGATCATGTGGGCTCGCGCAATATGAGTGGTGTACCGTGCTTGGCCAAGGGCCCCAATAATAAGAACGGTTGTCATGCCCTTCAGAGCTCCAAGATCTACCAGATACTTCGCCCACCTCATTCCCACGCTTTGAAAAGCCACAGAGAAGGCTGCATTTTCGTCTAATTCAGTGTACTTCTGCATCATGCTAAGCGCGGAAGCCATCAAGCAAAATGTCACCGTGATGATCGACATAGATACGAGCAGTCCTATTGGTATATCTTTCGAGGGGTTCTTTGTTTCCTCAGCCATGTTAGATATACTATCGAATCCAGTATACCCAAAATATACAACAGCCGCTGCTTGGAAGACCCCTTTAGGCCCGTAAGGCATAAAAGGTGTTAAATTAGTAGTGTCTGCATGAATGAATCCTGCAATTATGATGAAAAGAACTGCCACGGTGTTGATTACAGATGCTATCCAATTGATGCGCGAAGCCTGCCTTGTGCTGATCATTGCAATTGTGGCAGTAATAAACAGAACAGCAACGGCGATCGGGTCCAGGAGATTGTAACCGTTTCGAAGACTCGTATGAATGCGCAACGAGTTGGAGGGACGGTTCAGTAAGTTTGTGAAGTAGGAAGTCCAAGCCCTGGCAACTGCTGCAGCATTAACAACGGTTTCCAGGAGTATGTTCCCTGCTGCTATGAATGCAACGAAATCACCTAGTTCTACCCTCAAGTAAGCAAAAGATCCACCTGCCACGGGGATTTCTACCGCAAATTCCGTGTAGCAGAAGACTGAAAGCATTGCAGATGCACCCGCTACGATATACGACAGGACAATGGCTGGTCCGGCATGTTTATGAGCTTCTTGGCCAGTGAGCACAAAAATGCCTGCTCCGATGTGACCTCCCAATCCAATCCACGTGAGATCCCACCAGTTTAGGCAACGTTTCATGTCGTTCTCGCTCCGTTTCCTGAGCTCCTCGACCTCGACAACATCGTCCGACCTGCCTTTGATCCTATCCTTCAGCCGGAAACAAATTTGCGACAAGGCAGATCTATAGGTTCCCCAATTTTTGAAGGATTCTTCTGGGAAGAAATCTTGCTTGCTCCATCTCCAGTAACTTCTCTGTCCAACCTGATCATTTGTTGATTCTTCATTGAAACTATTCATGGTTTCACTGAATAGAGAAACTGAGATGGAAGTTTGAAATACTAGTTGGAAGCTCTATTCGCCGTTACCCGATGGACATGTGATATTTGTAGGAGAAGACACGCTCAAATGTCTGACACCACTCTTTCCCCCCTCCAATCATGGCCCATCCTTTTTTACCGTCTTGTACGAAGTTTGGCAAGAGGTCGCAGTCCTTCGAAGTGGGACGGTTTGGATGCATTGGTAAGTGATGGTAGACTCACATTTGAATAGACGAAACTAAGATGAAGTTTGAAATACTACCGTGATATTTGTAGGAGAAGACTTGACACCCTTTTCCCCCTCCAATCATGGCCCATCCTTTTTACCGTCTTGTACAAAGTTTGGCAAGAGGTCGCAGTCTTTCGAAGTGGGACAGTTTTGGATGCTTGTTTCATAGGCAAGTGATGGTGGACTCACAGCCACAGGACTTTTCTGAGTGTTGCCTTGTGAGCTGTCCATGTCCTATGCATGATGCTCTTATCCTCTCGTAAAAGACCCTTCCTACTAGATTGCCTCGGTTACAACTAGAGGGTAGTGACAGCTTCATAAACTTGCAACAAACGAGTTGTTATGCTTCCCCCTTTTGTGTTTCCCTCCCACGGTGTCGTCTCGTATAAGATACTTCCTACTAGATTTCATGTACTGTGCTCAATATGATATCATAACTTTTCGATCGCTTATTTAAGTCCCTTTAACTTTCTTCATTTGAGTTACTTTGATCGCTTACTCGCTAAAAAAAGTTGACATGGCATCATTTAAAAAAAAGGCACAATGAACTAATTTTATCTTCAAAAATAGTGTCACGT